GTTAAAGTACCCTGTTACTGTTCAGTAGTAAAACGTAATAGAGTGATTAATTAATAGCTTTGTTTAGTGCGGATAATGACTGGTACTAAACGCGAGACAAAAAAAAAAGAAAAAGAAAAAAAGAGTTCACTGTTAGAGCATCCGGTCTCAATTACCAAACACGTTGTACTGTTGAAATTTACACACAGGCGGAGTGACGTTAATATGGATACACTGAATAAATCTTGATGTCTCCTCGTAGCTTGACTCTACTATACTCTTTACTGGAACACATTAAACTTAAATAGTTTCAATTTTCAGCTTTCAAAACCTCGCGGTTTATTATTAACAAGAACCTTTTTAAGTACAGTATAGAGATTAAAGACATCTTAATGGCAACGTCAGTATGACAATTAAATGTTTTGTTTCTCCTAAATTTAGCTTCTTTTTGGCCGTCATTTTTACATAAAAAGCGTCTACTTAAGTGAAAAAAGAAAACAGTTCAGATGTAGCACCTAGTAAAACGTTACACGCATATGTATCCTTAACAGTATATACACTCAACTTGAAGTTACCGGTCTTGTTCTTTATTTAGTGGAGACTGACGTGATTATTAGTTCACAATATTTAAGTTCTATCGTTTTTAAAATACGTATAGCCAATTTTTAATGAATTCGAACTTCAGCATCCATTACACCCTTAATCCATTAATCTTGAGTCTCCAATCGAAAATGTGTAAGAAAAAAAAAGTCCCCCCAAAAAAACAATAACATTATTAGTCACTGTGATTTCCGTTTTGGAAGATTGGCGCTTGAACTCCCTTCAGTGTTAACTCGCTATTGGCTAAATGAAAGAAAGATTTTTGGAGGCGGGTGAATTGAAATCAAACCAATACCAGTGCCGGTAAGTCCTCAGCAAAGCAAGGCTTACTCCGAAGTTCGGATCGTTGCTTCGCCAGCAGCTGCAGCCGAACGGCGACAAGCTGGCTCGCTTTTACAAACCTGTGGCTCCTGTAGACATACCGCGGGACAGAGAGGTGTTAATTTCAACGAAAACATTCTGTTTTATATCACTGAAGAAACCTCAGGGAAATGGCACGCGCATATTTCCACACTTTTCTCCCGTGATCTTTTGCCGGAGGTGTTAAAGTATTTTTATACCTGCACAGAACAAATTAGGCCTAGCTAATTTTCCATATCCTCGCGTGACCTACGTGTCCGAAAAGCGTTTTTGGTAGTACTGACAATAAATGAAGTGATGTTTCTTCATCCACCTATTTAAACTTGCTACGTGGATTATACGCTGTGAAATGTGGTACGTATCATGTCCAAATTTTCCCCAAATTTATTCTGAGATTTAAGTATTCTACGAAAAGCTTGCCTGCGGTTGGATGTACGAAACCATTCCGTGGAAAGTGTCATTTTCCTTATGTTGCATTCGGTTAATAAATACAACATTTTAACAACAAGCACCAATACGTGAACTGCCACCGAAGATGGACTATCAAAAATGATTCCAGCTTTGGAAACAGAATTTTATGCACGTATGACTTTTATGACTCTACCAAGTATTTGGTGAAGTTTTTCTGACGATTTACACCATTGACAACTGAACTGTGTAAATCTTGCTAGCGGATTCTCATATTTTTACAAATAACTTAATTGTGTTGTATGAACTTAACGTATGAGCATACGCAGGTTTTTTGGATATATACGCCTTCTAATGTACAGGCCTCGATCTAGTATATACATTAGTAGACGAATGTTTAACCATAATAATTTTGAACCAGAGAGCGCGCAAACATAGAGTTAGCGAACGTGTGAAAGATCTCGTTTCTATCGTGCTAACACCAGCGATTGCTTAAAGTCTACTAGGAACCGTCTTCCGCGTAGCTACATTACGCCAGGCCCGTGTCTAGCACCAGAAGCGACCTCACCTGTATGGATAAGGAACATGCGATTCTACACGAGCGTTTCTCTGTACCTACTCCTTGTCACGGCAGTACTCGTGGAGCACGTGGCCACCATCCAGTGGCTGTAAGTATTGAATGACTAGAGTCACGTAGAGCGAGTAGAGAATGTCGGCTCTGGAAATTTGCCGCGTTAAATTAGGGCATTGAAACATAAGGAAACTTAGCTGCTTAAGCCCGCTTTCTTTCGTCCGGTGAGTGAAAATTACAATACGTTTAAATGATTTGGAATTCTTTAATTCTGTTAAAAGATAAGAAAAAACAAATGCGAATTAATGTATATCTCAGAATTATTCTAGATAATAAGTGGCATATATTTATAACAGATAACCTGTCTAGGATACAGATAATTTTCTGTGCAAAACTAGCTTTTGAACAACCTACATAGATGAATGTATATTTATTGAAGTCATAAACGGGAACAAAAAACTATTATTGAAAATTCGACAGTAGTACGATAAAGCGTTTATTGAATTTTCTTACGCAAGATTTTTTTACAATATTTAATTTAATAATCACTTCTAAACTTAAACCAATTAAATAGTAAAGCAAGTGTTATTTTTTATCTCGTGGAACAATTTCTAGACGCATGGATTTCAAATTACCTTGAAAATTTAATGGTGTGCTTGAATATAGGTGGCGTAGTTACTTTGTTGTATATACTATGTCCGCTCCGAAATAACAAAAAATTGACATTCTCACGTGCGACGTGCACTGACCTGCACCGCTAGCTCATGCACGTAAGTTGTGGATAGAGGAGACGTTGGAAAATAAACAAGGTATTAAATACACACACACATATATATAATGAAGAAGACACGGAGGAAGAAATAGAAGTCGCTGATTCATGCTCATCTTCATTATATATTTTTTATTTACTCAAGCAAAAGTGACATCCGTAAAGGATAACGTCTTTTGGGTTATAAATTCAATTCATTATAGCGATGTACCAAAAATGTAACATGCTCCACGATCTTTACACATTTTGCATGTCCTAAAAGGTTCGAGTTCGTGGAATTTCTCTTTGAACAAGTTTTCTCTTAATCTTGTGACCCCAAGTAAAATAAGATAGACGTACTAACGGCGAGAGGGTTTTTCCTACTTCCTGATTGTACTAAATATTATGGTCTCTAAGAGAAAGCGATACTCTCAATATCTATAAAAATTAATGTCATCTTCAAATAATAACGAGTGTTTCTTTGTTTTAGGCCTTATCACGCATAATTCTGTTGACTTACTCTTAAAAAAATACTAATCACGCATGAAACATTACAATATAAATTTAAGGACACTTATGAGTTTAACGAAATGAAAGTGTGTATATATATCTATATGTTTATTTTTGGATTTTTGTAGAAATTTATCTTCCTTTTAAATGGTGTACTTTAATATTTCGTTAGAAATTGATATTTTGAGATCTCGTACTCTGCCCTTAAATTAAAAAAAATATTCTACCCTAAAATCCTTTAGTAGGACTATCCGATTAATGATAAAATGTTACGAAATTATTTTCAGTGAATAGATTTAAGTCGTTGATAAGTACGAGAACGTACAATTCTACTTAAGTATACACCTCTAGAAAGTGTACTGCTGAAAATCCTTTAAAAAAAGTATATTAGTTGTCCAGCGAAGCCTTTCTGTTCCTGATGGAAAATACCTATAGACGACCTTAGTATGGCCACGTATAGACCAGCAGATCGTAATTTCCAAGCAACCAAAAACTTTTTGTTGAGTCACGTGGAGGTGGGAAAAGGCTTTCATTTTATTGTGCACATTTATACGGACAGTAAATTAGAGCTTGCCCTGATTATATAGTTTTTTTATGTGGTTCTTAAAAGTTAAATGTATAGTGTACAAACAACTGAAACCTGAAAGTAAGGTCAGTCGAAAAAGTTATCAGTTTCACGTGACTGTTATAAAGACTTAATTGAGTAATAACTGAAGCTAATGGTTCCAGCACGTAATACTTTAGAAAATTCACGACAGACGAAAATGTGGATCAGTGATTACTCGAACACGCAAGCTGAAATTTGTATTTTCTGCTCTAATTTTTCCTCAAAACGTGTAATAGGTAGTAGCTATAGAGATTACACTGTAGAAACAACAGATGTTTTAACTTTGATACAGTAATAAATCATTTAACTAGCACATCATTTATCTTCAAGCAGTATTACACCTTTCAGGATGTAAAACAGTATAAATGTTAACATGACACCCCAAAGGAGTTTTAATTTCGAAAAATATTGTGGTATTATAAGATTTCAATTTTAAACATTTCAGGAGAAATTTAAGGAAAAAAAGTTGCACTGTATCAAAGGTGGCATTTGATTTATTAACTTAGGGTTACAAATATATATATATTGTTGATTAACTTATTACTGGATACAAAGTTGCACATTTGTTTCTAGCTTAAGCTATTCTTTGATAAGTTCGACATCGAAGTATAAATATAAAATCCCAAGTCCACCATAGTGTTAAAACATTCTTGCTTACAGAATACATATATACTAATTTAACCCCATCTGGTTACTTATGTATCATAATTTATTAGAATAATTGAAACCAACCATACTATAGTGTACAGGTAAAACGTTTCTGGCTTTTTGATGGTGTGTAAGATACAAAAATAAATTGCACTTTACATTAAAATATTTAATGAAAGACTTTAACCTCAGACTTAAGTATGATACAAAATGTTTCTCAATTACTGTAACAAAAATGAAAAACCCAGCACCATGCAGTTAACTGGAGAAGAAAAAAAAGTTATCACATTTTAAAGTATAGTGATTAAAAGCTGGAGGTACATAGTAACTCACCATTAATTAAGCACAGTAGGGTAATATACAATAATCAAATATAATGAACACTTTTGGAAGGTAATATATGTATATATATATATATATATATATATATTAACTTAGAGTAAGAATTTCCTTTTATAACCTGTTTTCATGAATTTAAGAAATTTATAAAGAATCTACCTTTAACATGAAAATTCAAGTACAAAGTGATAACTGTCTGCCTACCTAAAGTTAAAACAATGATGTACAAGATATCCATAATGATCTTTGACTTTTTTAGAAAATTCACAGTTACTACAGTGTTATGTCTTGAGTTTTAAGTCTGAACATCTCACTGTATGAAAACTAATTATTGTAGTTGTAATAGGCCCATTGTCACTGCTTTAACATGTTGGCTGCCATGTGCCCCACCAGTGGGTCACAACCAACTTTTAGTTATGTACCGCGTAACACACCGGTGGGTCACAGACAATTTTGTTTCTAAGCCAAATTTCTCTTGTGGTATATGAGTTTGGGACATTATGTCCACTCTGGCCTCATCACCCCTTGAGTGTTTAATTTTATTAACACTACTGGTGGCAGCGAACGTGTTAAAACTGTCCTACAATTGTGATATCAGCTTGTACTTCCAGGTCATAGTGTCATGTTGCCATCATACACAGATACTACTTAACAATACTTTAAACTGATATTCAATCATGAAGACAGGAAAACAATCACAAAGCTGACTTGTATTATATTTATGTATGACATTTTTATTAAATTCATATAATCAAATACTATTTCACAATCAAATGATTTTTTTTTACAAACAGCATCCCTGTCTCTTCATTAATAAAGACAACGTGACTTCAGGAATGACAATAACAATAAATTGGGAAAGAGTATACCTATTTAGTATCTTTTTGAAATGTGTGTTATAAATTCTCCTTGAATTGTCAAACACTCTGAGGCTGCTAAAGCAAGAAATATCTTATTCAAAACTCAAGTATACCAAAAAATGCATTCACTTTCAAACAATTAGTCAGTAGAGCTAGAAGATTAGTGGAATTTGATAACTGTTTAGGCTCCTTAATAAATTACAATCAACTAATTGATTATTCTCCCATGAGATTTGGATGGTTGGAATAATGAAAACAGCTATACTTGGAAAACTAATTTCAATTAATTAATTATTTTCTGAGTTGTAACACTAATCAATTAAGCTGAACAACTTACAATTAATCAAAAATAATATGGAGAAATTTTAGTGGCAATATTTCAATTAATTAGATAGTTGAAATAATTGAAGATTCCAATTTCCATTAGTTAGATATTTTTGTAACATTAATGGATTTAACTGGAATTTCAATTAACTGATTATTTTAATTGGCCCTAATCAATCACCTAGTTCTGTCAATATTCTATAGTTTTATTGATAAAAATAATTATTTCCACTTTGATTACACTAATTAATATTACATACCAGATTACTGAATGAGTATGTGTTCTTTCTCATAACAAAGCCACATTGGACTATCAGCCATGTCCACCAAGGGGAATCAAACCCCTATTTTAGCATTGTAAATCCATAGACTTATGGCTGTCCTTACTGAATGAACCAGTACAATTACTATGAAATACAATCAACAGCTGGTCAATCCTAATACCTCATTCTTTCTTCAGTTTCCTTCCTTATGAACTTTTTATACATTTTTCAATAATTTTTTCTCCATATTCACTAAACTCTTCCAAGAAAAACCATCCTTTGAGAAATGTTTGAAAAAATTAGAAACAAAAACTGATCATAAAGATAAAGCCTATATATAGGCTCAAAGAACAGTTTATTTAGTGATATTTTTGTTATAGCAAAAACATATATATGCAGTCGAATAAAACCACTGCTATCTGTTATTTCCACCACTTACTAATTAGTTATTTCTTCCTAATTTTAGTACAGAATCATTTCTATCTGTATATTGATAAATACCCAAAACTGATCCTTCAGGAAAGTCTACTCGACAAATACACAAGGATATGTTCATACAAGTTCCTCCTTCTTCTTAGTGTTCTATTTATCTTTTGTGAACAACAATTTCAATATTAAAATGTATTAATTTTTTAAATTCGAGATTTTGGTGTTTCAAACTAGTCATTTTCAGTATTAGACATCACTTGTAACATTGTATCTTGCTGTCATTTTAATTGGCTCATTGACATGGTAGATCATTTTACTTATTTTAAACCCCAAATATTCTGCAAAGTTCTTAAGTTTTACATCTTAAAG